CGAGGTCTTGAAGCATGCCCATGATAACTTGCCATGATCCAAAGTAAAATTGAACAGCTGTGATATTGATGGTGCCAACTCAGCGGCACATTCCTTTAGTATTCTAGGTGAAATTTCATCAGGACCAATCGCTTTATTCACGTCAAGGGTACTGAGAACTTTAAAAACATCAGCCACTGAACAAGTTAAGTCATCAACCCCGCTCTCAGTGAACGGTGCAACGACCTCCGTATCTCCAGATCTTTGACTAAAAACACTATGAACGAATGTATTGAAAATATCAGCTTTCGCCTTGGGTGTAAAAGTAGATTGGCCACCATGTTCAACACAGCTGGGAACACCAAAATTACCAGTGCGCGATTTAACAAAGGACCAAAAATTTTTAGGATTGGAAGGCAAAGATGCTGTTAAATGAGCAACATAATTCCGGTACGCTTTATTCAAACCATCCTTCACCTTCTTGCTAAAGGACTTGTATTGAGCCCACTTAACAGGATCCATTGAGGATTTTGCTTTCCTCCACAAGTGCCGTTTCCTCAAAATTAGGATTCTTAATTCAGAATTCAACCATGGTACATTCCTTTTATGCTTCAGCAACTTGGTTGGAATGTTACGTTCGACTGCCTCCATAAACAGAGCTTTTCATGCATCCTAAACATCATTCATATCATCCACTAAGAAAGCAGTATTCCAAGGTATATATGGTGTTCCAAACCACATTCATAGCTTTCCAAGAGTATGGATTAGAGCAATGTGGTATGTATTAATTGTCACAATTATATAGCTACAGGGTTTTAGAGTACAGACACATGCATAAAGCTATCACAGGCCCACTTGCAGAAGTTGTTTACGGATTATAAAACAGATAATTGTTGTGTGTGCTCCAATAGAAGACATGAAAGAATCTGATGAGACATGGGTTAGCTCAAGATATTGTTTTTAATTGGGGAGTGGCATTGGTTAAGAATTTAGGCCTGTTTCAAATGTCAAGCTTTTGGCCAATTGGTTTTCTCCATTTTACAAATAAGGACATCTTAACAAGAAAAACAAATTTTGCATTGCATTTTTCTCTGCTATGGGTCATTTGCATTATTGTTTGAAAAATTTGTTCAGTAAACTGAGCTGTTTTGTATTGCATTAAGCATGATTTTAAATTGGGGGCTAAACCCTCGAAGGATGAACTTCGTTCAAAAATTTATGTTTCCTTGACAAATGCCAGATGAGTGGGAACAAGTGTTTTCAAAATGGTGGCACAATTATTGGGGAGGGTAAGCCCCCTCCCCCCTCCCACAAAAAAAAAAATTCTCACAAAGAAGTGCACAAATACTTTATTGTTTGGTGTCTGACAAATTGGGCTGAATCATATAATAAAATAATATAATAATTCTCATTTATTGATCAGGGCTCCATATCTCTGAGGAAACTCTTCGATCAGCTAAAAAAATGTAAGGAAAGACCGCAGATTGCCATGCTACACTTAGGTAGCACGGAAAGCCGGAAAACTCTTGAACAAAAGCTCATCTTTCAAACCGACAGTCTAAATCCCACAGGTATCAACGAACGCTTTTCGTTCCACTAATTTATTCGTGTTTTTCTCGTTGCCATGTTCCCACCAATCACGTAGCTCCTTTTTCTGCCTTTAAAAGCACACGCAACCCACAATTCTCCTATTCGCTCCGACAAAGGGCTAACGCTCGAAACGTCAGCTTTTATAATCGTAACGGTGGCCAATTTACCATTACAACTTTGTTAATGTATTCAAATTATTTCGTTACCCCCACCGACGCAGCCCCAAACAGTTTCTTTAGAAACTATCAGCCTTTATTCATGAGTAAGAGTTCGTCTAGTTCAAGCTAAGTGTCCATTAGGTGAATAGATACATTATATGAATTATCCCATTTAAGCATCGTTTGCGTGAGTGGAAACCGTCAACAACCTATGAATCGGATTTATCGTTTCAGGCTGAGTCTATTTTCCTTGCAGGGAAATCCACACAAAAAAAATTACAATTGGATTTCACCGTGCATTATAAAAATATATGAGGTGCTTGTCGATGTGTTTCTCTGGTACCTTTCTCTCTCTCTGAGGATATAGCTGCAACTGCACGGTGGGATACCCACCCTGAACCCCCTACAGTGCTTATCACCATCATTAGTCAAATCGCTGAGATTCAAGGAGCGTAGAGAAAAAAAGGGATTGAAAGTACCAGTGACACAGCTGTGGTTATCATTTTCACGCCAGAGACACCGATAACAAGCCGAACTTTTCCGTCGTTATCGGCAAAAATGGTGGGACGCATTCCCACGCATTCCCTGTGGTGATGGAAAACGGTGGCCGATCCGACCAGACCCAGAAAAATTGAATCGGGAGGGAGATATGCCATTCACCAGGTCTTGATCAGTAATATCAAAATTTGCCATCTCATTGTTGTAGATTATCCCTGTGGTGATGGATCGATATTGAGCGCCACATCTGTTTGAAAAAAACAAAACAAGGCGACGACACCACCGTTGGAAAAGCACAGTGTCAGTGAAGCTGAGCAATAACATGACTACATTTGGTTTTGTTTTCTACCATGCGAGATGTCATCTCTTACGACAAATGAGCGTAAGAGATGACATCTCGTGCATCATACGTATCAATAATTATAATAGATAATTACTGAGGCACATGGCAGTATGAGAAATATTGCAGCCAGCTTCGGCCTACGGCCTTAGCTGGCTGCAATATTTCTCATAATGCCATGTGCTTCAGTAATTATCCATTAAATAATATCTGAGTGAGAGTTCGTCTAGTTCAAACTAAGTGACTATCAGGTGAATAGATACAGTTTTTGAATTAATTAATTTAAGCATCGTTTACGTGCGAATGGAACCCTTCAACACCTACAATCATAATCAGATTTATCGTTTCAGGCTGAGTCTATTTTCTTTGCAGGAAAATCCATGCAAAAAAAAAATTATTAGATTTCACGGCGCATATGATAAAGATATATGAGGTGCTTGTCGGTGTGTTTCTCTGCCACCATTCTTTTTTTTCTTCTGAGGATAAAATTTGGGTGGGATACCCACCTTGAACCCCCTACAGTGTTTAACACCTATAGTAGTCAAATCGCTGAGATTCAAGGAGCGTAGAGAAAAAAAGTATTAGACGTACCAGTGACACAGCTGTGGTTATCATTTTTCCGCCAGAGGCAACGATAACAAGTCGAACTTTTCCGTCGTTATCGGTAAAAATGATCGGACACATGGAGGAGAACGGCCGCCGACCAGGCCCAGGAAAATTGAATCGGAAGGGAGAAATACCATTCACCGGGTTGTGATCACTACTATCAAAATCTGCCATCTCATATTGTTGTAGGTGATGCCTGTGGTGGTGAATCGATATTTAGCGCTAAATCTATTTGAAAAACAGACCAAAAGAAAACACTGACACAACAAAGCAACGACACTACTGTTAGAACAGCACAGTGTCAGTGAAGCTGAGCAATGACAAGATAATATTTGGCTTTATTTCCTAATAGCTACCATGCGAGTTGTTAACTTCTTACCACAACTGCGCCTGTCGTTTTTAATTTTTCCGGCCACCAAACCATGATAACTGTTGTCAAACCGTGCGAGTACGACTGCTTCCGGTGGTTCATGTCTTTCAAAGCAGGAACGATGAGATGCCACCTATCCCAAGCCCTTAGTTATGGTGAACTCAAGGTCCACTGGTGCCGCACGTACTTCCAACTGAACTTTTTAGGTCAACTCACCCCATGTTAGAAAATGCGTCTCCATTCGGGGCCAGAACAGACACGTGTGTCGTATCGTACCGTGTCAGCGTTCGAGAAGGAATCCGCGTTATACGATACATTCTTCTTGATCTTGCTATCCAACACTTGTTTTCCATTCTTTTGAAAAAAAAAAATTACAAGGATGAAGATGAAAATTTTATTCAAGTACTTGATCTACGGTCTGTTTAGGAAAGGTACAAAGATCCAAACGCATATCTACTGTAGACCTTCGTTGTAATTATGTAGCTCAAGCCAGTCTCTATGGAGACATTCTCATATAACTTAGTCCGATAAGTTTTTTTAAGGAAATTTTGTGAGTTTCTTGCAGTCCTTCTGCGAGAGGAAGGCACCAAGGAAGGAAAACTTGCGTTTGTGTGCTCAGTGAACTTTATAGGTAGAAAAATTAATTTGTACAAGAGGATTGAATATTGAGACACGTAAACTGATATTTAAAAGACCGACTGTGGTTTTACGTGACTGCGCCTGGTGAGTCCACAACATTTTGACCACTTACGAATCATGAATATCGCAGTCGACAAAAGTATAGACCACGCTAAATCAACGTTAGGTTGGCGTTTTTGTCTGATTTTTAGCTCGTTAATTCGCTGGTAATGTCTGGTTTAGTAAGGTGTTTCCCTTTGACGGACATTACTAGACATAAAAGACCAGGTATTTAAACATCTATTCCAACGCCGGACTTACTTTCTTTAAAAATTTGAAGTACATTTGAAGTAGAGAAGGAAAGAAGGTTTGCATTAATTCGCATCATTGAGATACAATGAATTGGGGGAAAGATCAATTAATCTATTGAAGCACCAAGAATGACTGTCCATGAATTTAAATATATGAAAATCATATATGTGTACTGCAGTGAGGTGCACTTCATGAAGTGTATGAAAGCGATCCTCGCAGTAATGAACCCTACTCACGTAGTAGTGGAAATAAGGCATGAAAAAAATTCAGACTCATACGGGATTTGAACCCATGACCTCTGGGATACCAGTGCAGTGCTCTACCAACTGAGCTAACAAGCCAAGAATGACTGTGTTATGAAAACAATTTAAGAATAAGGGGTTACCAAATAGTATTTCGTTTCAAAGGAAGTTAAGGTTAGGCAACAAAACTCACAAAAGAAAAGAAAACTATAAAAATTAAATAAATCCGTTAGCCGTAAATGTCATCACGCCATTGAGATCCTCATGAAAGTATTATACTGAAAGCGTGCTGTAAACAGTTCCTTTTATTAAATCTATAGCATGTATTTTGTACCTAAGCAAAGCAAACTCAACGCATCCATGACGAGCTGAGTCGAACGTAATGAAAAGGTAATTCTAAGAGAATTAAATCAATGCAAAAAGAGTGAATGAAATCAACGCTTTTGTCCGTTTCATTTATCATGATTCAAAACAAAACAATGTTCGAGGACCCTATCACAGACAGGAATCATAAGCTAAGATCGTTTATAAATATTATCTACAAACGCTAATTTCGGCAAAAGATGTCCGATAACTGCTATAAAAATGAAAAAGAAAATGCATTTTCTATCCTTTATTACTGGTTCTCAGCCTCATAGCATTTTGTCTGCCAATTTTATAGAATATAGGGTTTCTACTACTCTAGGTAGCTTTTTAAAGCAAGTTAAGGTTAGGCGAGTGCCACGG